CTTATCTGTGGAATCTGAACAGTAATACAAATAAGTCTATATACAAAACAGACACAGACCGCAAACTGATTGTTACCAAAAGGGAGCAGGGAGGGATAAATTGGGAGAATGGAATTAACAGATACAAACTACTATACCTAAGGGTGACAAGCCACAAGGATTACTACATAGCACAAGGAACTATATTCGGTATCTTATAACAACCTGTAATGGAAAATAATCTGGAAAAAAAGTAGATTTAACTGAATCACTTTGCTGTACCCATGAAACAAACACAATATTGTAAATCAACTATGTATTTTTTTAAAAGACCAAAAACGAGGTGCAAGAAGGATCCTCTTGCTATATTCTGTTTATCACTCTTGATTTGGATGCCACAGGGTCATGAAAACGGTTTAAATTTGTGGCCCCCTTTCGCACCCACACTGCTGAGGATGCTACTCAGTGACTGAGCTTGTGGCCAGCTGACACCTTTAAGTTTTTTTCAAAAGAACCACTTTTAAGCAAGTTTTCCTTGTCCTGAACATGAATTACTGATTTTGAAGATCAAATGGGAAAATCTGTAAGAAACTAGCACAGTGCCTAGCCAGTTGTAAGCACTAAATAGATGATACTATTTTATTAGTAATATTAGTATAAGACAATATTGCTAATTAATATTGTTAATAAATATTACCATTAATACTGTATTAGCCTTATTAGGTTTAATTTTCCTGATTTCAGCAATTTAGCCTGTTGAGGGTAAGCTGTCTATCACACCTGCTACACACACACGCATACACACACACACACACACAGCTTTCCAGCCTCAAGCTGGACACATGTAGCAGGTGGGAGTTTCCCTGACCAGGGATCAAATCCATGCCCCCTGCATTGAAAGTGCAGAGACTTAACCACCAGGCAAGTCCTAGACACATTTTTAACCAGCGTGCTTTCTGAGTCTATCCCAGAAATTAACGTAGTGACACAATCTGATAGAACCTGGTACACGGAGTGTTCACTCATTCGAAGGAATTTTGCCACTAACTTTCCTCTTCTATTCCAGAAATATATTTCTCTTCAACGTCCAAAATTTTAAAGAACTTTTCCCCACTGGCATTAGCATTACCCTCTGTATTATATAAATTTAAACTGGAAATATCTGTGGAGGAACCACATATGGAGCCCTTAAAACCTTAGACTAAGCGAGGCAGTGAACAGGAGTATCCTGGGCTGTGCAGAAAAGGCAGAAGCAGCGGGCTAAGAGGAGGCAGACCAGTGAAGAAAGGGGCAACTGGTGGACTACAGACTTCATTCACATCCCACATTTGTCCTGGAAAGTTTTCATAAATCTTATACACAGAGTATAGCGGGTCAAACGGCTGCCCCTGCAAAGGGTATCGTCCTGTCCTGATCCCTGGAAGCTGTAGTTCTGACCTTTTTCAGAAAAAAAATTCTCCACAGATGTGAATAAGGCAAGGGCGCTGAGAGGAGCTCCTCCTGGGTCACCCAGGGGGCCTAAATCCAGTGACGTGCACCCTTGTAAGAGACGAGCAGAGAGAGATGTGAGACACGGGAGGAGAAGGTCAGGCGAAGACGGAGCAAAGGCTGGAGGGACACAGCAAGGCCAGGGGCCACCAGCAGCTGGAAGAGGCCAGGAAGGACTCTCCTCCTGAACTTTCAGAGGACGTGTGGCTCAGCGGAGTTCGGACTTCTGGCCTCCAGAGCTGAGAGAGAACACATTTCTGTTTGTTTCGCTTCTAGTCACCAAGCTCGTGGCAACTGTTACAACAGCTACAGGTAACTAATACAGAGGGTATTTTCCTTCCCTGAGGAGTCCCTCTCAGACTCTGAAGGACCAGTTCATGTCCTGGAGAAGGAGTGAACCACGTCTAAGCTCTCAACACCTCATAACCACGAGGAAGTAGGACGTGAAGTTTAATGTTAATTGGAAAAACTCAAACAGGCGATTAAGGGATTACTCTGTCAGAAGTCAGATGATAACATCTCGGTGAGCAAGCGGCATCCTGAGTTCAGAACCACCACGGAGGCCTCACGGGCTCTGAGTCGCTGACAGGTCTGGCCTGAGGGGAGGAAATGCTGCCTGGGTGACTGGCGGGGTCATCCGGGCTCCTGGTGAGGCGGGAAGGAGGCCGGGCTCTGGGCACCTGCATGTGACTGGGAGTCATCCTGGGACTGGGACTTCCCTGTCTGCCAGAGTTCACCTCCATTCCTGAAACAGGGAGGAAAAAAGTTGCAGCTGTAAAAGTACTGCTGAAGGCTATGTTCATGCCTGTGGCACCTGTGAATTTTTTTTAAAAGTAAAGTCCCCCACGCGGTTTTTAATAGGGCCATAAATTGTTGTTATTGGTCACTCAGTCATGTGTAACTCTTTGCAACCCCATGGACTATAGCTCACCAGGCTCCCCTGAGCATGGGATTTCCCAGGCAGGAATACTGGAGTGAGTTGCGGTTCTTTCTCCAGGGGATCTTCCCAACCCAGGGATCGAACCCGAGTCTCCTGCATTGGCAGGAATCTCCTGCATTGGCAGGCGCATTCTTCACCACTGAGCCGCCAGGGAAGCCAGGGCCGTAAACATGTACAGACAACTCAAAGAAGCTGTCATTCTGAGTCTATGGGTGACTGCTCCCTTGTTAGTCAGGGTAGTCTCGGTTGTGCTGTGGTGACTGACACCCCCCACATCTCAGTAGCGTAAAACAATAAAGGTTGTCATGGGTTGAGTTGTGTCCCTCCCCTCTCCCACCCAAATTTATACGCTGAAGTCCCAGGTCTCAGTCTCTCAGAAGGCGACCATGTTCAGAGAGAGAGGGCCTTCACGAGGTCATTACATTAAAGTGAGGTCACTCCAGTGGGTTCTAATCCAGTATGGTGCAGGTTCTTGTGGGAACATGTGGACACACAAACACACAGAGAGAAGAGGATACGACGATAAAAAGGGAAGGTGAACCTCTACAGGCCAAGGAGGGAGGCTCGGGACAGCTTCCTCCCTCACAGCCTCTAAGGAGCCAAGGGAGCCGGGGCTTTGTGCTGGCGCTTCTAACCTGCCGCACCATGAGAAAGTATCTGTGGTTGAAGTCAGGCAACCTGGTGCTTTGTTATGTCAGCCCTAGCAAACTCACCCAAAGGTTCACAGCCTGCTTACGCTAAGTACCCAAGGGTAAGAAGGCTGTGCTAAGGATGGTCACTTAGGAAACCTGGCTCATAGGGCAGCCACCATCTTGAATATCACCAATTGTTCGTTGGAAAGAAAGAGTTCCAGAGGGTCTGGCACTGATCATTAAATGTACCTGCTCAAAAAGGCACAAATCACTCCTGCTCAGGACTCCTTGACTGGAAGAGTCACATGGCCCCATGCAAACCAAAAAGGGAGTTAAGAAGTACAGTCCTAGGCGAGCTGGGGATGTGGCATTACAGGTTCTAGTCCAAAGGCAGGCGTGTGCCTCCCAAAGGGTCCTACTGAGGACCCTCAGTATTTTGGGCTCCAAAACCACTGCAGATGGTGACTGCAGCCATGAAATTAAAAGACACTTGCTCCTTGGAAGAAAAGCTATGAACAACTTAGACAGCATATTAAAAAGCAAAGAGATTACTTTGCTGACAAAGGTCCGTCTAGTCAAGGCTATGGTTTTTCCAGTGATCACGTATGGATGTGAGAATTGGATTATAAAGAAGGCTGAGCACTGAAGAATTGATACATTTGAACTGTAATGTTGAAGAAGACTCCTGAGAGTCCCTTGGACTGCAAGGAGATCCAACCAGTCCATCCTAAAGGAAATCAGTCCTGAATATTCATTGGAAGGACTGATGCTGAAGTTGAAACTCCAATACTTTGGCCACCTGATGCAAAGAACTGACTCATTTGAAAAGACCCTGATGCTGGGAAAGATTGAAGGTGGGAGGAGAAGGGGACAACAGAGGATGAGATGGCTGGATGGCATCACTGACTCAATGGACATGAGTTTGCAGAAGCTCTGGGAGTTGGTGGTGGACAGGGAAGCCTGGCGTGCTGTGATTCATGGGGTCTCAAAGAGTCAGACACGACTGAGCGACTGAACTGAGGACCCTCAGAGTGGGTAATGAACGCATTCAGTTTACAAATTCCTCAAAAAAGAAAGAAAGAAGGAATGCTTTGTTTCACTCTCTTTTCAATGTCTCTAAAATACTCAGAGCCTGCATCTCCTGTAACTAACTTCTAAAATGTTTCTCTACTGACATCCACCTCCCCTGAGTTTTCTATGAGAAATTATATGTTCTACTTTTGATGACAGTCTATAAAAATAAAATGAATACAATGTATTTCATCTAGAGAGAGTGTCATCTAACTCTTTGTATAAAGGGCCAGATAGTAAATATTTGAAGTTTTGGGGGGCCATGTGGTTTCTATTGCAACTGCCCAACTCAGCACTAGAGTGCAAAAGCAGACAGAGACACACAGATGACACAAATGAATGAGCAGGGCTGTGCTCATAATCAAGCGCTAGTTACAAAATCGGGCAGCAGGCAGGCTTTGGCCTATGAATCATGGTGTGTTGACCCCTGACTTATGTAATTTTAGTGCCGGAGTGTGCAGTTGCATTTCTCATCTATGCTAGTCCAGTGGAGGTCAAATGACTTAAAGCTTTGATGGAGAAACGAATGTTTCTCAGTAGTTCCCGGGGAGAAAACTGGTGGAGGAATGGAGTATCACAAGGCACCCAGGCCCGTCCTCCCGCCTGACTGGGACGGACCTGTGCTGCGGTGGCTGGTACCGCGTTCAGCGGCAGCATGGTGGGGTGGGTGGGCTTCGACGGGAGGCCCTGGTGCCAGACTCGTCTGTCACTTACGCTGTGACTGACCGTGGGCAAACTACCTGACTTCTGTGTTTCAGGCCCCCCGACGGCCTCTCTGTCTGCCTCCCTGCCTCTCTCCTTCTGTTCCCACCCCGCCACCCCCATCCTTTCTCTCTCTCTCTTTCCTGCACTTTCCCGCCTCGCTTTTCTCCTCCTCTCCGCTCCTGCAGACCGACCGCCTCCGTACGCACTCCCTTCCGGGCACCTGACTGTTGGCCCCTCCTCCTGGCTCCACTTTGGAGAGGAACCTTCCGGAACCTTCCGATCGCTCCGCCGTGCGATGGGCGCACTTCTGGCCGCATCAGCTGCAGCTGCGGGCCCGAGGACTCTGGCCCAGCTCCATCGGGTGTTTGTGCCCTTCCGCCGGAGTCCCATGATCTGTGGGCTGTGGGGCATGGCACGGCCATGGCCACCGGCCGCCGCCTGTCTAGCATTCATTCGAAGAGAACGCAGGGGCCCGCCAGAGTGACGTCCGCACTCAGACCTGCTCTACGCTCAGCTGTGGCTTCCTGCTTCACGGTGGATTCCCTGATGCCCCGCCACTGCCTCCTCTCACATGCACGGCACTGTGCCTTCTGCCGATCCCCGTCAAGTCAAAGCCTGTGCCCACTGCAGGCTCGACGGCACCTGGGATTGGCGGTGCTCGGGGCTGGGAGCAGAGTCGTGTCAGGGGCTGATGCTCAGCAGGCCTTGTACCCAGCGTCCCATGGAAGGGTCAGCACGAGAGCCGTGGGTGGGGCAGGCCCCTGGGAAGAAGGGCCACGGGGCCGCCGCCTCTTCCCGTGGACCTGGGGGCTGAGGGCAGCGCCTCTGTCCTCGGTGAGTTTCTCCCACATTCCCTGCCCTTTCCTCTGGTGCTCCTGCCAGGTTGGGCTCCATTCAGGGTGGAGTTGTGTGTCTGACTCCCGTCCCCTCTCCCCCACGCGCTGCCGCGCTCCGTGGTGGTGGCTGCGGTGGTTTAGTCGCTCAGTCGTGTCCGACTCTCGCAACCCCATGGGCTGTAGCCCACCAGGCTCCTCTGTCCAAGGGATTCTCCAGGCAAGAATACTGGAGTGGGTTGCCATTTATTTCATAATTAGAGCTGCCAAATACAGTTGTCTCATATTTCTTTGTAAGGTCTAGGTATGCTCTTTCGTTTTTGTTTTTTGGAGAGTGGATAACCAATTCTTAAAACATTTCCCCAATGATGAAAACCTAATCTTAATTATACGTTGTTGTTCAGTCGCTAAGTTATGTCTGATTCTTTGGGACCTCGTGGACTGTAGCAGCCAGGCTCCTCTGTCCGTGGGATTCTCCAGGCAAGGATACTGTAGCGGGTTGCCATTTCCTTCTCCAGAGGCCCTGCTCCATACCGGCCACTTTCTCCTCCTCACGCTGCGAGCCCAACATCTGGCACGGTTGCATGGGACATATTAGGTATTCAAATGAATGGATAAGTGAATGGGTGCTGGGTGCTAAGGGTCTGCGGGGCAGGGGGAACGTAGCAGGGGAATCCACACTAGACTCTGAGGCAGGAAAGACATCCCTGAAGGATGGCATGAAGGTTGGAATCTGAGGCTCTGGGGTGAAGAGTCAGGTGGAAGTTGGGACACAAAGCTCCAGGCACAGAACTCCCAAGGGCAGAGAAGCCAGGTAGCAAATTAACAACAGAGCCAGACCTGGAATTTGACTCTGTGCCTCCTGGGATAGTCACAAGAGCCCCAGGTTTGGTTCTGTTCTGGAAGGATTATAGTAGGTTGCTGTCTTTTCAGCCTCAAAGTGATTAAAATCATTACCCAGGGAATTCCCTGGTGGGCCATTGGTTAAGACTATGCTTCCGTTTCAGGGGGGATGGATCTGGTCCCTGGTGGGGGAAGGAGGGCCCTATGGCTTGGCCAACAAAAAAAAACATCATTACCCAAACACACCTAATCAGAAGACTCTTAATATTTAATATTCCCTTGACTCTCAAGAGGAAACTGTAATTGCCTACTAGTCACATTGCAGCTGGGACCAAGTTATGAGGGACACCACATGTGTGTGTGTGTGTGTGTGTGTGAAAGAGCTGATAATTTAGAAAAGCAAAATAGCTTAGAGGCATTGAGAAGATAAATAAGTAAAAAGATCAGTAAAGGAGGAAAGTGTTGAGTTATTTATTTGAACCCATCGACTCAGAATGGAATAAACACCACAAATGGATAGAGATGATGCTTTTAAAACCCCCAAGAAAACCCTTTATCCACCATCTGTGTTGGCTCAAAAGAAGAGTTCAGCGCTAATCCAAACACAATGCGAGGCTGCCTGAATTAGAATCTCAGAGCTCTTAGCACGGTAAATGTCAGGACAGAATAAAAGGGATTCATCATCTACCCAAAGGAAAAAAAAAAAAATAGTGCTTTGCATGGCTGAGGCCCTTCTTTCCAGAATGGAAGCACCAAGGTATCAACAAATGTTTAATGGGGACTTACCGCATGCTGGGTCCTCACAGAGAAGTTTCCGAAAATAGCGGCCCATTTGTGTGGCTGTCCGGGAAGACATTAGCTCGTAGAAGCTCCGGTTCGCTTGTCGACTGGAAGCGCTTAGCTCGTAGAAGCTCCGGTTCGCTGGTCGACTGGAAGCGCCGCAGGGAGGGAGGTCCCCACTGAGAGTCCGCGCCTCTCCGTGCCCGGCTTGCTTCTGCATCAGCGCCCAGGCAGGGCATGAACTCGCGTGCTCTTCTGCTTGTGGGTGCCTTTCTCTCTCTTCTCACCGCCATTCAGGGGGCATGTTTAGGGTTACAGACTGACCACCTCAGCTGGCCTAGAAAATTGTCCTTCCTCCGGCCAGAAGCCCCCTGAGGCCACCTAGGCGTCCAGGACTCCCTGGCCATTACAAAGTGACATTCCTGGCTTGGAGCAATGGTTGATGAGTGGGCCCCCCTTTCTCCTCTGCAGACCCACACCATTCCCTCTCAAATGAGGTTCTGGAACCCACTGACCTATTTCCATCCACACACCCACCCATAACAAGGCTCTGAAGTATTTTCCTCCCACTTTCTGTCTCAGGCAGACACCTGGAGTTTGCTGGGCCGTGAGGGCTGTGGGTAACTGGAGGTAACCCTGCACCACTAGGAACCCTAAATGATGTTATGACCACATGGTGGATACATTCCAGCTACTGAGGAGCCACTTGTTACAACCAGGCTACCACCACTTCATCAGGTTTAGCCAAATAATAGCTCCCGAAGATATCGGGTCCTAATCCCTGAAACCTGTCAGTATTACATAGTTTGGAAAAGGGTCTTTGTAGGCATGATTATGCTAAGGATCTTGAGATGGGAATATTACCCTGCATTATCTGTGCCCTAAAGGTAATCACTTTTAGCCTTAGGAGAGAGAGAGAGGGAGATTTGACACACCCACCAAGGAGAAGGCAATATGAAGTTGGAGACCGGAGATTGGAATGAAAAGGCAAAGTAAAATTGCATTTGAAATGAACATGTCAGTGAGGTAGATGAAGGTGTGAGCTTTTGTATTTTTTCCAATGAACTCACATATTTGGGGATGCATGAGACAAGTTTGGCAACAATTGTATTCTCATTCTTTGTTTTATGGATTCAAGTGCTGGCAAACCTTGGCTTACATTGAAAGTAGGTAGAAACAGAAGAATTCTCTTAGAGCAGCACTCAATTCTTTGAGCTCCTTCTAAGGTATGTGCTGAAAATCATATTTTTCACCTATCAGATGACAGCTCAATTAAGAACTCCTTCAGTTTTACTCAAGACAAAGAATTGGAAACTATTTGACATGCAGGAGGGTTTGTTATCCAATATTAGATTTGCTCATTTTTCTTACTCTCTAGGAAGTACACCAAAAAGTACACCAAAAGTCATTTACCCAGTGACTCTTAATTATACCAGTTACTATTACTCGGTTTTGTTTTTTATTCATTTGAGATACAATTGACTTATAGCACTGTGTAAAGTATAAAGCGTAATGATTTGACGCACATAATCATGAAGTCAAAGATTTCATACTTTTTCTTGTGGCTGAGCAATGTTCCACTGTGTATATACACATCTTTATCCATTCATCTGTTGATAGAACTTAGGTGCCTTTTGTGTGCTGGTTATTTTAAATAATGCCGCTACCACTTACTCTTACTTTGGAAGCTTATTTTCATTCCTGATATACTCAGGAAGGGCTAGGAAAACTGAAATATCATTCATCTCAATTCTTGCTTATCAATGTGATTAAAAATACAGAATTTTTAAACTGCACACTTAAACACATGGAGCTTTCTTCCAGATCTTGGAGCTGTGAATTTAGCTCACTCAGTATACAGAAAATGCCTACCATGGAACGTAAATGTTCTCAGAACCAAGTCTACCAGTGAAATCAGACTTACTTTACGTTAAAAAAGGCCAACTTTATTTTTTAATTAAAATCATCCTGTTAATGTGTGCCCTCCATGATATTTCTAATTCTTCAGTGTAGGAGGGATGCAGACCTAAGGCACAGAGCCCGTCATGAATGTGGAGCCTGAGTGAACAAGGCTCAGAGGGCGAACAAGGTCATCACAGGGCTCCATCCAGGAGGAGAGCCTTCGACCATCAAGTTAGGGATGAGTTATGGTGGAAGAAGTGAGCTGTGCCAGTCTGGGTTCTCTAAGAAACAGATGTCAAGATCGGCTTAAAACGCTAAGACTTTATTAGAGGAAACAAGGATGGGAGAAAATAGAGGCTGGCAGAGTGCAAGGAGACTTCTTGGGCCACAACGTGAGTCTGAGACCACGTGGAGGGAGAGGGTGAGTGTCCAAGGCTGCCATGAGGATTGAGGAAGGACCCTGCAAGTCATCCTTGTAGGCCGTCAGAGCAAGGCCATCAGAGGCTTCTGGGGCCAGAGCTGGCCACCGGGGAGCCCCGAGTTTCTCAGGACTGACGTGGTACCCTGGCCACGTCGGTTGTTGGCTGAGCACAGCTGGTGGGAGCATGGTGATGGACTTGAGAGTGCACTAAATGAGGCCTCAGTCAAATGAGCTCCCTGTCCTTGGAGGTCTGGGAGGGGCATTCTCATGACCACCCCCTGAAATACTTAAATGGAGATTGTCATCGCTTCTGTTGTCCCCATCTTCAGTAGATTTGAAACAAGAACATGATGACCAGAGCCAGAACACTCCATTTCCAATGCCATGGTTTGAGCCTTAACAGAAATATGCTTAATAATGGACCAGGGACTGCCCTGGTGGTCCAGTGGTTAGGTCTCTGCATTTCCACTGCAAGGGGCAAGGGTTCGATCCCTGGTCGGAGAACTAAGATCCCTCAAGATGCACCATGTGGCAAAAAACAAACAGAAAGAATGAACTGGTTTGCAGCGATGGGGTTCAGGATGCACCACCCCAAAATATGATACCTTGGCTTATTGAATATTTTAAATGGAAGGAATTTGAGGAAAAACAGGAGCAGGCAGGACTCTGATTTTCCTTGTCTCCTCTGAAGTAGGTCTTAAGGCCCTCTGTGTGAGGCACTTTCATTATTATGCCTGAAGAAGCATCCTTCTCTCTAAGAAGGATGGTTGCTGAGAAGAATCTGGACAGGTCTTGCTAAGTTTCCCGCAGTTTCTTCCCCTTATCTCATTCTCTGTCCTAGCCTATCCTTCCACAACTGTGTACTCTTCATCAAATCTGCCATAAAGACACTCAGGACACTGACACTCAAGACCCTTTAACCATGTCTTTGGGCCCTCCTTTCCTTATGAAGGTTCCCATCTCATATAAAGCGTATATTAAATTTCTTATACTTTTTTCCTGTTCATCTGTCACAGTCAGTTTAAATATCAGACCCACCAGAGACCCTTTTCTCCCCGCTACAGGAGTGTCTTGATTAAATGAATCAAATACTGATATTTCAAATTATCCTTTTGTCCTGGCACCTGGGACATTTTTAATACCCTCTGGGGCCATGATCCTAGTAAGATGCTGGATACAGGCGAGGTGTCCCTTTTATCTCGTACATTAGGAGAGCGGCGACTGTGCACGGGCAGATGGAAGGGACGGACCTGGGGACGGCTGCTGCAGATGCTTCCTTGACCTTGGCCTCCCAGTGGCTCTGTGCCAGTTTGGGTCCTTTGAGAAGCAGACCCCAGGATGGGATGAAGCAGGCAAGAGATTTACTGGGGACATACCTATGAGACAGCAAGGGGAAAGGACACAGGAGTAGGTGAGGGTCTGGTCCGACACATGTGAGAGGAGAAAGGGAAGGCAGGGGTCCTGGGCTGACGGGGTGCAGCCAGGCATGCGGGGAGACCCCTGCCAGGCCCCGAAGGGCCAGGCGCTCCCACCAGGTGTGGTCGCTGGCTGGGTGGGTGGGAGGGAGGGGCCCAGCGTGAGGGCTGCGGGGTGTCAGAAGATGCCGGTGAAGGGAGCTCAGAGCACAGCGCACGTGTAGCTGCCAGGGTCTCCTCCCAGGGACATGTCCTTGGCCCCACCACTTCCATCTCCTTCTTCTCCCGCTGCGTGGGTTCCTTAGACTCTCTTCTCCTTCAGGTCCCAGGGGCCCTCTCCCAGGCCATCCCCCTCTCCTGCTGCCCTGTTCCCCACGTGTGCCTGGGAATCTTTGGGCCCCACCCAGGTGTCCAGGAGGCACAGATGCTGTGTGGAGGGAGAGAGGGTCACCTTGAGGCTTGAGTGTTCAGAAGGAGAGGAAGGCCAACTGCATGGTCCTGACTCAAAGGGGCAGTTCGCTTTTCTCTTCCTGATTTTCCTTTGTCAGCCCTGGGTACCTAGAAATGAACGGTTCCTCTGGCACCACAAGGGTTAATCTCTGCCCCTTGCCCTCCCCGGGCCTGTAAGAGCTATGTCCTTCCTACAGATAGAACTTGGGGACCACACGTTTTCTAATAGGCTGTCTGTAGCATCACCAACCTGAGTTGCGTTACAAACTCTGTTGTGGCCATTTAACTTTGGGAAGTTCCATGCCTGATGCCGGGGATTCTTCTCTTCTGGGCAGCAGGTAGAGAAAGAGGACTGTCTAGACCCTCACAGCTCCCGAAAATCTTTATCTCCCATTCAGAAGGCTGGACTTGCTTCCCTAAAACACTATGCCTTTTCACACTTTCCCAATCCTAAGCCAAATATTTAATACAAAAGAAATTCTATACCAACATTAAGTATTATACTGTTTATCCCTTCTAAGAGACTCAGAATACGTTTTATCAATCTGTGTATCTGGTTTTAAACGACAGTTCAACTTGTGCAAAAGAGAAGCAGCAAAGGTCCAACACCAATTTACAATAGGTATGCTATCTTGTGATAATGCTGTTCGATTTTTTTTCCCTATAAAAACATGCACTAACAATCCTTCTCAGCTAATGAACACAAAATCCCTTTGAGTATAAAATTAAGTTTATGACACATATTGCTGCAAACTTAAAATGAGCTCAGCGTGGTTAACTGACTGACCGAAGGTCATGCAGTGAGGAATAGTAAACACTAGAACTACAAGTCTTTGGGCTTCTAGACCAGATCTCCATGCTGAAGAGGAACCTCAAGTTTCAAGCCTAGAAGCAGTGTTTGGAACAGGTTGTGTCCTCCACAGCTCAGGATGAAATTCTGTTCCAGGAAGATGCTCAGATTTCTTCGATATCAAGATGTGACTGCAAGTCTGTGACCACTGAAAAATTTTTTTTCTGCAATAACAACAGACTTGGGTCCAAGGGTTTAATCTTTCTAAACATATATTCGGTACATTATTCAAAAGCGAGCTATCCAAAGAGTATACTTAAAGGCTCCAATATTCCAAGTATCAAAAAGCATAGGTTCAAGTAAAGCTTTGAAAACTCCTGGAGGTGGAAACGGCCGTCAGGTGCCAGAGGAGAGGAAGGTGATGGGTTTGCCCAGAGCATGGCGCATCAGACCTCTGGAGAGGTCACTTGGTTTTCAGAGCTGTCTTTGGGGCTCTTACGTCAGTCTGCATAGTGCAGTCATCTGGGAAGTTTCTCAAAGTTCTAGTGTCCAAGCCAACCCCAGGATCAGTTGCATCAGAATCTTCTGGAGATGGAAGCCCAGCTGTGAGAGTTTTCAATCTCTCCAATGAATCCAACGTGCCACCAAGGTTGAGTACTATTGTGCCAGTGGCCAAGGTTGAATGCTACTGCACCAATGCCGAGCACATAACCACTTCATAAATACGTATTGAATGAATAGGTGGATGAATAAGTATCAGCAACACAACTGAAATGAAAAGAAGAAGAAACACATTAAGGAGGTAAACATGCTTTATTTAACTTAGATGGAAGGCCCTGAGATCCCCACTTAGAAGACAAACACTCTTAATTTAGAAACAGTTCCCACTGAGCTCAGATGTCAGGACTGTCAGTGCACAATGAGGCTGAGAAGGGAAGATCATGCCTTGGAAACAGATTCAGCAACAGCAGCAAGAAGAAAACAATGTGACAGCTTGAAAGCAACATCCAGGAGACAGCAAAAGCAGGAGACAGAGCTCCAAGGAGAGCTGTCTGGGGCCATTTAATACCGGGGCAAACTGACCCGCCCAGCCGAGTTTCCCTGAAGGCATCATGGTATTAGAACAGCTCAGTAATTGATGTTCACAATGCTGGCTGAGTCATTCCGCAAAGGTGAAGTTCTGTTTGTCTACACAGTTTCAGGGGCCAGAGGGATACAAGGCAAAGTGCTGGGCTTGCGTCATCCCCTGAGTAAAAGCACGATCTGTTTTTGGAAATCTTGATGAGTTTAGTAGCTGGGAAAAGCATCACTTTAAAGCTAGAAGGAGGTGCTACTTCCTAAGAAGTAGATATTAAATGTCTCAGTGGGACAGGCTGTCCCTTGGTCAGAGAAAGCCCCTTTGCTGTGGGTAAACCAAAGGTTAGGCTAGTGGGGCAGAGACTTCTTTGGGGAGAAAATATGGACTTGGATAGTGGTCCAGATACGGATTTCTCAGACTGAGAACGGTGAGCTTTTTCTTGGTTTTACAAACCAAGTGTCTTTTTTAAGCAGAGATTTGTTATTTGCTTAGGGGAGATTTCCTTTTTCTCAGCAAGAAGTTAGATAGCTCTGTGTCTGTAAGATATTGCCTGTTCTTGAGAGTTGTGTATATTCTAGAACAAGGAGGAGATCTAGGTCTGAGTGTCCATGGGAACAGGAGGGCTTTGAAGACTTAAGGTTGACCCTGCAGGAAAGGGGTGGGGGGAGTGGACTCATTTGAATCCGGATACCCCAGAATGAAACTGGCAACCCACTCCAGTGTTCTTGCCTGGAGAATCCCATGGACAGAGGAGCCTGGCGGGCTACAGTCCATGGGGTCGCAAAGAGTCGGACACAATGGAGTGACTAGATGATGAGATGTGACCCCAGGATGAAGGGATGTTGGGTTACCACTTTCCAGGGTAGTATTTGTCCTGCTCAAGGCCATGCACGTTCTCATGAAGGAGAAGGTCTTTCCTTTTTTTAATTTTATATTGGAGTATAGTTTATTAGCAATGTTGTGTCAGCGTTAGGTGTACATTAAAGTGATTCAGTTATGCATATACACGTATCTATTCTTTTTCAAATTCTTTTCCCCTTTAGGTTGTTACCGATACTGAGCAGAGTTCCCTGTGTGGTACAGCAGGTCTCTTTCTGTTTTAAATACAGCAGCCTGTGTGTCTGTCAATCCCAAACTCCTGACTTATCCCTCCCCTCCACTTTTACGCTTTGGTAACCATAAGTCTGTGACTCTATTTTGTAAGTAAGTTCATTTGTGTCATTTTTTCAAGATTCCTCATGTAAAGCGATATCATATGATCTTTGTCTGTCTGACTTATTTAGTAGGATCATCTCTAGGCCCACCCATGTAGCTGTAAATGGCATCATTACATTTTTTTCCAACGGCTGAGTAGCCTTCCACTGTACATATGTGTCACATCTTCATCCATCCGTCTGCCGATGGACGGTCAGGTCGCCTCCGTGTCTTGGCTGTTACAGATGCTGGGCTGCAGGGAACACGGGGCTGCAGGTGTCCTTTTGCACCACGACTTCTCTGGATATACACGCAGCAGTGGGACTGCCAGGTCGCCCCCATGTTGGCTGTTACAGATGGTGCTGCAGGGAACACGGGGCTGCAGGTGTCCTTTTGCACTGTGACTTCTCGGGATATATACTCAGCAGTGGGACTGCCAGGTCATGTGCTGATGCTGATGCGCTCAGTCGTGGCCGACCCTTCGCGACCCCATGGACTGTAGCCCGCCAGGCTCCTCTGTCTATGGACTTACCCAGGCAAGAATGCTGGAGTGGGTTGCCATGTCCGTCTCCAGCTGGATCATATGGTAGCTCTGTTTTTAGATTTTAAAGGAACCTCCATACTGTTCTCCATAGCGGCTGCACCAATTTTCACTCCCACCAACCGTGGAGGAGGGCTCCCTTTTCTCCACAATTTAGAGGAGGAGGAATTTCTGAGATGAGTGGTCATTCCCATCGTCGATTCCATTAGTCCACCTTAGGTCAGGAGGTGAGAACCTGAAAGGTGAAGCCCATGACAAAGGGAAGGGGGAGAGTCCCTTTTTTCTCTGCGCTTTCATGTCACTTTTTTCTAGGCCTCCATGTATAGCAGTCTGGGAGCTGACACTTACATTTGGAGGTAGGTTGAGAACCTACCGAAGGTGTTTAAAACTCTGAGGATGGGTCCAGGCTGGAAGCTCAGCCCATAACCACATATACTTTTGAAGTTCTTGGTTGTTCTTTGTTTAATCTTTTTCTTCTGTCCCATGAGCAGCACTCTGGTAGAGTTTGGCTGAGAGTGGCCATTTGGTCCCTGCGATGCTTTGGGTAAAGTAGGGAGGGCAGATGCCGCGTTGGAAAGATGCCCCAAAGGTGGTCAGAGAGGTGCTATGAGCAAAGACCACCAGCAGAGGGCAGAGGCGCCAGAGGGAGCAGTGAGCGCGCCACCGCGGTTAGAAGCCCAGGGTGGCGTCACGTCCGAAGGCAGGCAAGGCAGAAGTTGGGGGCACCTGCTCCCGGGCAAGTGGGAAGAGCATCGGGATGCTCGGAGGACTCTCTGGAGGCGCACTGAAGGGGCTCACTCCTGATAATTAGCAAGACAGGAGTGGGGCCAGGGCAAGTTATTTGGTGGAAATGATGTCTAATTGGGTTCCCCAGGTGGCACTAGTGATAAAGAACCTGCCTGCCAATGCAGGAGACATAAGAGACGTGGGTTTGATCCTTGGGGTCAGGAAGATCCCCTGGAGGAGGGCATGGCAACCCACTCCAGTGTTCCTGCCTGGAGAATCCCACGGACAGAGGAGTCCATAGCATTGCACAGAGTCAGACACAACTGAATTGACTTAGCACACATGCACGATGTAACACTGCTGGGCTTAAACTTTTGAGAGGCATTTGGAATCAGAATGCCTGTGTTCAAAAATATGTCTGCCACTTACTATCTGTGTGACTTGAGGCAAAACACCCAAGCCAGGCAGTCAGATTTCCTTACACGTCAAGAGGCATACCTAACATTTACCCTCGGGATTTCTTACAGTTGTGTTAAGGATCAAAAATAAGTCAACCTCAAAGATATTTTGCAAACGGTATGTGTTATTTCACCTCTGAAATTTTTCCAAGTAAAATGATAAAGTATTAAGGTTTTTTGGTTGTTGTTGGTGGTTTTTTTTTTCCTTTACTGATAATCTATGTCTCTAATGAGCACTACAGGTGTTCTATCCGACAGGTGTGGGAAATGCAAGTGGCATCTGTCATGGGTTGTGTCCCACTGTCCCCCCCGCCCCCACTCTGGGATCATTCCTGAGAGGCAGAGTATGGAGGAACAGGGAGGTGGAGCAGAACTGCATCCTCATTCCTGATTTACAGGAAAGATAGAGGATGCCTCTAAAGAGGGCAAATAAATACACTGCAGGAAAGCAGATCGGCATGTACCAAGATAATTAAACAGAGAGCAACATACATTTTTAAGTTACAAAATGACACTTTAAAGAATAGTAACATTTTGAGTAAAAATTCAGGAGGCTAAATTAGACAGTTGATTCATCAATGTTTTTATTCAATTAAGTTTAGCTCACCAGTATTTGATAAACAGCCCTTTTAGGCAGGGTGCTGTGGAAGTTACAAGGTTATCAGATGTCCATCTTGCCTTTAAAGAACTGCAGTCTTTCCTGAAAAGATATTTATTCATTTGACTGTGCCAGGTTTTAGTTGCAGCACGCATGATCTTAAGTTGCAGCCTGTGGGGTCTAGTTCCCTGACCAGGGATGGGACCTGGACCCCCTCCACTGAGACCGTGGAGTCTTAGCCACTGGGACACTAGGCTAGTTCGTAAGGAGCTGCACTCTTGAGAAGAAAATGTGCGTGTGCAAAAGCGGTGCCAGACCAAGCTTGAGCAGCGAGACCCAACACCCGTCTGTCCAGTGCGGCAGCGGCCACGAGCGCGTGCACACGTGCGCTGGGTGTGGCTCTTGGGCACTTGAGATGCAGTCCAAATGGAGAAGTGCCCTATGTGTAAAATACACATCTGATTGCAAAAGACCAGTATTAAAAAAAAAAAAAGGACATAAAATGCCTCAGGAGTAAATTTCATGCTGGTTATATATTGGAATGATATTTGGGGTCTATTGAGTTACAGAAAATATATTATTATATTCTATTCACTTGCTTTTTGAAATAGATGAGAATCAGTTGTCTGCTGAGTTTATTTATGTGGGAGCCCTCACGCTTGAACCGTGGGTGACTAGATGTCATTGTGCCCCTGTTAATCCCCACACCCTTGCGTCAGCGCCGTTCTCAAGAGCGTCCCTCCTTCTTACCACACTTAGTACACTTTCTCCTCCACTTTGCCACAGTTCTTAAAATGTGTTTAGAAAGCAGACTCTGTTTTCACCTGAAATCTAATCTCAATTGGATTCTGGTCAAGAGCCAAATAAAATGCTTGGCCTTTTCCCCTGCAGTTTCCCAGGCTCAGAGCGTGACGCAAAACCCCTTCCTAGCAAGCAGCGGGTTTCTAGTGCTTTGAACGCCCTGCACTAGGGGCACTTCTGTCACTATTCACTTTCCTTGGCTACCTTGTATGCAGAGTTGACTAATTAGATGGAAAAACCGCCTGTTTAGAATCTGTTAAGCTTCCTGATGATGTATGCTATGCAGCTATACATTTACCGTGCTTGTTTTAGACCCTGAAATGTGGTAGGTGCTCAATAAGAAGTTGCACTGGATGAATTATAAACGCTGTTCTTCTTTAGGATGACTGGCCCAAGTCCAGTCACATGGAAGAAACCTTGAGCCTATAGGGGATTCACTTTTAAATGCTTGCTGATGACTTAGCCTTTTGGAGATTTTTATCTTGCTCTGCTTTCAAAAGCGACACCAAACCTGAACTTGACATTGAACTTGAACAGAGCCCACCCCACCCCGCCTCCCAGCCCTGTGCTGCTGAAGCCGCATTACGCTTCCCCTCCCTCCCCTCCCACCTGCTCTTCTAGAAGCCCACAAGCCACCCACTTCCTTTCCCCTGCATGGCCTGAGGCTGCCAGCTCTCTGAGTGTTTCCCTTTTGCAACACCAAACCACACAAAGAGGGTTCTGGCAGCTGCAGGCCTGTTCACCTCAGCAATTCTGAAAAGTGCTTTGTAATTACTAAGCAGAGAGTCTGGGAGGGTTAAGAGCCTAAATGTTTGAACGCAAGATTCATTTCCATTTAGCATTTTATATCCAGTTTTCCAGTGTTAAAGGGGGAGTGGGGGCCTACCAGAAGAATTTCACATAGAAATTTTAAAAATTGGTTGACAAGGTATTAAGCACTTTTCTTGCAAATTGATTTGTCTTTTCCACATCTCTTGTGAAGTATCTAAGTCTTCTGCCATTTTTAATTGGGTTGTCTTTTTATTGTTGATTTGTAAGCATTCTTTATATAGTTTGGTTACAAGTCCTGTATCAGATACATGTGTTATATTTAGACCATCTGTGATTCATCTATTCCTTTTGTGTATTTTAATTAAATGTAATTAAAAATTTTGATGACATCCAACTTATGTCTTAATGATTAGTGCTTTTTGTATGCTAAGGACATCTTTGCCCACACTAAGGACCTTCAAGGTCATGAAGTTATTATGCTTTATTCTAGCTTTGTGGCTGTGGGTGTTACCTGTTGGTCTGTGATCCATTCTGAATTTGTTTTCGTATATGGAGTAATTGAGTTTTTTTCCTACCCGTGAATTCAGTTGTTCCAGTGATAATGTTAAAAAGACTTTCCTTTCTCCATTGAATTAGAGCCAACAGTTGGAAACAATCCAAATGTCCACAGAGAGATAACTGGGTAAATGATAATATATATGATACTATATTCTTCTAATGGAACACAACTCAGCAATTTTTTTAAAAATGCAAACTGTGAATACATGCAACAACCTCAGTGAATTACTCAAAAACAATATGTTGAATGAAAGAAGCTAAAAACCATGAAACAGTTGTCACTGCATGATTCTACTTGGATGACACTCTGGAAAAGACAGAACGAACTCTATAGTGACAGAAAGCAAATCCGTGGTCACCTGGCTGGGGACAGGGAGGGAACCTGTCTTGGTGTAGTGGATATGTTCTTCATCTTGTGTTGGGTGTTGGTTCCACGTGTATTTGACAATTGTCAAAATTCATCCCTGCGGACGTCTAAGGGCTGTCCCCATTCATTGTATGTTAATTAAACCTCAATTTAAAGTGTATTAAAGAAAAAAAAAAAGAATTAGAATGTGAACCTTCCTGAACTCTGCCCAGGGAATAGCCAAGTTCCTCCGTCTCTGGCGTGGGCTTGCAGCTGAAGTCTGGGAAAGAGAAAGAATTCCACACCGAGCGCCCTGCCGCTCCCTGTTCCTCAGCCCGTGGGGTAGATTCTTCAAAACATTGGCTCGGAGACTAGCATCCAAAACCAGCTGAGTAAATAATGGGACTTGGGTGAGCTGTTTTTCCCCCTCTGTGTTTGGAAATTTGAGCCTGTTGTATGTCTCTCAAGCACATTTCATTTAAGAGATAATTTACATTTGCACGAAATCATGGCTGTAGCCCATCTGCTCAACAATTGTATAAGATGCGACACTTAGAAGCTGTTGTGTGTTGATCTTAGCGAGCAGGAGAACTTGAGTGCCTGGGATCCAAGTTCTTCTGAAATAATCCCCAGCTCCGTCCAGCCACAATAGCTTATCATTTCTGACATTTTCTTTGGAACATCACAGGTCATATCCATTTTAGACAGTGAATCACTGGGGAAGGGAGGGGACCGTCAATCCCCCATTGCTTTACCAGATTTTCTACTGTACTTAAAGAAGATTGTGTTGGCAGCTGGGGAGGCATGGGAGCTGGAAGGGGGTTGTTTGGTTAGGTATCCTGATGGTTTTATCACCCAGGATGATTTGTGACAATGAAACAGCTGGAGCAGTGACGCGATTCGTATCAATGCCTGCATGTCAATGGGTTAGGAATGGAATTACCATCGTTTCTGCGCTTTGGTTTTCCCTCAGAAGTTGAGACTCCTGGTTTATTTACAGGCTGCGGTACGCACAGCCAGGCAGCTAAGCTGCTGCACAGATGGTGGGAAGGGGAAGACCGTGTGCTCTGGATCAGTGAGTGAACGTTACCAGGATGGTGTCAGAGGCCAGAGCCCGAGGAGATGGCAGAGGACCGCAAAGGCTTCTTTTGTCTCCCGCAGTTCTTAACCGTCCGCTTAGTCGCTTTGTCCCAGTTTCATCTGCCAGGACTTTGGAGAGGAGGAGGATGGGATAGCTCCAGGGTTTCCTGGGCAGAGCTCAGGGAGGGGCAGTAACCCAGGAAGCGGCTGCCCCAGCCAGGGGCGGGGGGCACTCGTGGGAAGCAGGGGCGGTGATCTTGTGGGAAGGTGGGTTCTGGGTATCAGAGCCAAAGCACAGGCCAGAAGGATGGTCCGCAAGCCAGACAGACTCTGCAAGCTGGCATGACACAGGAAGCCTCCTGCTCCCAGGGTGGAACTGTGTCCAGGGGGGCAGGAAGTGGCTCTAATCCAGAGAGGAAGTCCCAGGCCACTCGGGAAAGAGCAGAATTCAGCCCCAGCACC